CCACACCCCCCCCGCCCCCCCCCCCCCCGGGACCCCCGGATCCCCCCCCGGACCCTTCCCGGCTCCCCCCGTTCGTCCCCGGTGAGTGACAGCGGCGGCGTTTGGGGGGCGCGGTTGCCATGGGAACGGGGCCGGGGAGCGGGGACAGCGACAGGGAGGGTGGCGGCGGCGGATGGGCAGGGGGGACAGCGGGGGGTGACACCGGGGTTGTGACAGGGACGGGGAGGGTGGCAGCGATGGCGGTGGGGGCGACAGCGAGTGTGGCACCGACAGGTGGGTGACAGCGACACCGGGAGGGGGTGACAGCGAGTGTGGCACCGGCAGGGTGGCAGCGGTGGCAGGGGGGTGACAGCGACACCGGGAGGGGGTGACAGCGAGTGTGGCACCGGCAGGGTGGCAGCGGTGGCAGGGGGGTGACAGCGACACCGGGAGGGGGTGACAGCGAGTGTGGCACCGGCAGGGTGGCAGCGGTGGCGAGTGTGACAATGAGTGTGGCACTGGTCATGTGACGGCGAGTGTGACAGCGGGCGGGTGGCCGTGTGTGTGTCACCGTGAGCCTGGCACGGGGGGTGACAGCGAGTGTGACACCGGGCATGTGACGGTGACACCGGGAGTGCGACACCGGGCCCGGGAGGGTGGCAGTGAGCGTGTGACACCGGGTGTGACACCGGGTGTGACGCCGGGTGTGTGACAGCGAGGGTGACACCGGGAGTGTGGCAGGGTGACAGCAGGTGTGACACCGAGGGCAGGGGTGTGACAGTGACACCGGGGGTGGCGCCGGTGGCCCGGGGGTGACACCGGGGGTGACGCCGGGGGTGACGCCGAGGGCAGGGGTGTGACAGTGACACGGGGGGTGACACCGGGGGTGACACCGAGGGCAGGGGTGTGACAGTGACACCAAGGGTGGCACCGGGGGGTGACTCAGGGATTTGGGGGGGGGTCGCGCGCGCGTTTCGAGGGCGATTTTCGGGCGCTCGGGGGAGGATTTGGGAGATTCGGGTCCCGCGGTTTGGGTGGATTTGGGTGTTTTGGGGTTATTTTGGGGTGGGGGCGGGATTTGGGTGGGTTTCGGGTTATTTTCGGTGCCTTTGGGGGTTATTTCGATGCTTTGGGGTAATTTGGGTGTTTGGGGGGTATTTTCGGTGTTTGGAGGGCTATTTTGGGGTGGGGGAGGGGCGCTGGTGGCTCCGGGAGGCGGTGGGGGAG